GATTGCATTTCCAGTTGATTTCTCTCAGCTTAGTTCTTTCCTAGGTTGGCAAGGTATATCTCCCCTTGCTTAGGACTCCTCACACTGCACCACTCCTGGATTCTAAGCTGGCTATCTCAGAGAGCCTCTATAGCTGCTGTTATCTATTTGCCATGTTCTCCTGGAAGTCAGCAATTCCCGAGTGCCACTTCGTACTCCTTCCTGATAATTTAAATAATTCTTTAAGTCTTTCTTTTCTAACTTGACAAACACAAAGTATCTTTATATACAATTAGGAAAGTAGCATGTAGTAATTGACTGTATAATGGCAAATGCCTTCTTACTGACTTCATAATAAATTACAAACTTTCAGCATATTTCTATATTTGTTGACTCTTTATTGCCTTCTTATGTTAGTTGTTTCAAATCTAGTTTCATTGTTTTCAACTGATGTAATCTCAGGACCACTTCTCTTGTATTACTGAGAAGTGATAGCCCAGTAATCTATGTGCTAAGAACTGTCTTGGGTGATGTGGCCCGAGTAGTGGGTCAGACTGACCAAATCAGCTGTTTTGTAGTGTTATAGTCTATTGTGTGCACTGTAGTTCCCCAGCTTCTGTGATTTGAACTTCAAAATCTCTTGTTTATCTTTCCTTACTTTATTGCCTTAGTCTTGCCTCAAAGAAAACAGGCTCACTGTTCTCCCAAGGATATTCTAAATTTACTTTTCAGTTATCATACTTCAGTAAGATCTTACTTCAGTAGGATTCAGAATCTTACTTCACCTGTCGTCTCTTGTGCTAGTGTGTCTCCAATCTCTGTTTTCCCTGGATCAGATTTTTTGCTTTGCACAAAATTTTCTCTCATTTTCCAAAAAGAATCTTAAACAAACCTTGTGTGAATATGTCTTGCTTTCTCTTTCATTTTCACTTGCTTTCCAAACTGGGTTTTCCCTCTACAAGTCTGTTAAAATAGCTTTCTCTTAAATTTGACCCACTATCCCCTTTTGTTGGCTACTTTATCCTTGAAATCTGAAACCCTAGTGTTTAAACACATCTTTAGGGACAGTATTACTGAGCCGCCTTCTGATTTTCACCACAATTTATCATCCTCCTTTGCACATAATTTTATTTCTCATTGATTTCTTCAACAGTGTTTACTGACTACCTATCCTGAGTGGTGAAGAGCATATCATACAGAATTTGAAGAGAAGCTCTTATGATTCTCTCTTCCATTTACTTCTGAAGCACTTTTCTTCTGTCAATCGTGCCTACTTCAAATCCCAATATATGTCTTCAATTATAAAGTACCATGGACCTCATTACTGTGCTTGCCCTTTCCTCTAGTTCTCTGCCTAGCCTTCAATCCCTTATTTTTCAAGTGAATATTGCTATATTCATTCAATCCACAATTTCTCTAAATTCTGTATATTTGTTAACATCATCTTCTACTTAGGCTATGGAGTTCAAATTAATGTTTGTTATATTCCTTAAGTCTGTTGCTGGCTTTTATCCTCATTGCTCCCATTTGCTGATGCTTCTTCTTTTTTTCAATTTTATTTTACTTTATAACTGCCTGACTCTCATTTTCCATGCAATTTCCCATTGCTGGTTTCATACATGTGTACTTCTACGTTATCTTCCCTGATTATTTTTCACCTCCACACCTATCTGATTGTTGAAAAAAATATTCCTGCTCTATCACACACATGCTTTCTAATTGTTAACCAGTCTTTTACTGGAAACATGAATTCCACTTCTTTAGAGCTTTCACCCCACCTCCATCCTGCCCGACCACCCCTAGGTAACCTCTTTGTAGTCTAGAACACAGGAAAAATATGTGTCACAGTGTTTTCAATCTCTTTTCACTTAAATTTTGAGTCCTTGAGGATAGAAAGTTGTGCCATTCATGTTGTATAGGATACCAAATACATTACCTTGCTGAATAAGCATATGTTAAAAAAATTAGTTAAGAAGATCTCCCTTTTTAAAGTGATTACTTATTGTGAGAACACACCAGTGAAGTAATAAACTGTATATCCTGGCTGAATAAATAGTCTTCAAAAATACAAAGTAATTGCTATGCATATGATAATTTGCATCTTTCATTCAACTAATTGCTCTGAGGGAGAACAGCTTCTGAGCTAGACACAGAGAAAAAGTGATGCCAAATACAAAGACACTGCTTTTCCTCTGGATATTTACTGTCGCTGAGACTAATAATATGCACTCAAATTAATACATTGAAACATTTTAAAAAATTAGTTGGGAGCTTATACAAAAAAGGGATTTCAAATACAAAAAAACTCATAAAAATGAGTGGGCTCATAAGCATAGTTGTGTACAATATTCTTTATGAAACCCTGAAGAAATCAATCAATTATTCTAGAGTCCCATTGAGCCTAAGCTTATCAAACATCATGATAGGTATGCTTGTGCTAACTTCAAATGTTAAAACTTTGCTGAAATAACTTAGTTGCTTCTCATAAATTTCTCAGGCTGCCTAAATATCCATAAATACCTTGTTTGGGTCTGGAACTGTAATGTAAGTTCCAATATGCCAAAAAATAGTAGTCTGATGAATAATGCTTTAAAGCCAAGATGAAAGAAATTTAGGGCCTTTTGTTTTTTGAACTGTGATGATATATACCTATGTTGCGGTTGTGAATTTTAATAACCTGTACATAGTAGGGTTCAGTATGTGTTGACTAAATGATGACAGTTGGTAAACCTATATGTCTGTGAACTTCTATGAAATAGGGATTTTAAAATTTAGTTTAGAAAGGAAAGACTAAATGTAAAATTTTGTGTGTTGCTCCAGAGAACATTAAAATGTTCAAGTCAGCACAAATTTTCTAAAAGTTAAGTTATGAGATATAATAAAAGTTTCAATGATATTGCATGGTATTGATTATATTTTTAGGTGTCATTTCTTGTTAGCACTCTGCTCCATCTTAAACCAGACTGGAAAATTGGCCCATTGTTTAGATTAAGAAGTATTGCTTTGCCATTGGGTCATGCTAAAATTGATACCTTTTTAAATAGCTGACAAGTGGCCAAGTCATCATTATCTGGAGGGAAACACTTAAATTATCTGAAGATGGCTGATCTGTTCTGAATCAAAGTTTGAGTCGACCACTTCAGATTCTGTGTCTAACACTCCAGGTGACAAGGGTCACTTGTGCTGAAGAACTGACAGTTTCCACCCTCAGGGTTGGTAGATTGGATTGAAAAATGTACAGGAGGAGAGTTTGTCAAAGAAATTCAAGGAACAGAGCTGATAGGTTCTAAAGGGAATTCTAACTTGGTCCCCAGATTGAATGAGAAATGTTTGTATTTTATGGACTTACACAAGTGTGCAAAGTTAAGAGGAAGAGGCGAAAGACAGAGTAAAAAGTGTGGGAGGAGAAAATATCAAGAGAGGTATAAAATTTTGTTGTTTTTCAGTTTATGATTTGTTGAGGTGGAAATAAAATAACAATAAATTGAGAAAATTTTGGTGGTAATTTAAATGTTCTGAGATATTGCTTTAACGATGGTTAATTGATGAATTATGAGTATTATATCTCATTAAATTACAAGAATTGTAGGAAATGATTTAAATATCAGAAAATGGAAAATTATTATTGTACTTCTGGATTGACTACAGTGGTACAGTTCCAGGATGGATGAATCTGTTTGTGAGTCCTATGAGTCTTTTGCAAAAAGCGATACTTTTGATCATCTTACCCTGTATCCATGTATTGAAGTCCCACACTGACACCAATAATATATACAATTCTTACTTGTTAAGCAAATTTTTATTTATTGGTTGATTGATTGATTTCTGATACCAAGGATTGTACTCATGACCTCTAGCTTGACAGGCAGGCACTTATACCTGAGCTAAATCCCCAGTGCCAAGAAAAATGTATTACAAAAACAAATTGCTGGAGTGTATCTGTAATGAGTTTGAAGTAGGATATGTTGTCATTAAAAAATCTCACACCCCACTAAAAAATAAGGTTTATTAAATATTCAGTGCTTAAAATTCACTGCTCCATAGTTCAAACAACTTGGTGTAAACTGAAGAATCTTCTTGAAAACTTACTTACACTTTAATAAAGATTTGTGATCATCTAGGCTTAATTAACATTACTTGTAATGTTTCTTATTGAATTCTTACATTTTTGTAGTAAAAATGTTCTACATTATAGTAATGTTTCTTAAGGTGAAGTAGATTAAAGTTAGTGATATACTTTATTATTCTAAATATTTATGTTGACCACACATGTCTTATTTTTGTATGAATCTATATGGTTAAATTCAGTATCTAAAGGAAAAAATCAAGGCATAAAAATAGTTAGCAAATTTGTATTAACTTTCATTCCTAAATTACTTACTGTTTTACAGACCCATTTTAAACTGCCTTATGCACATTGATTCATTTAAATTTCAGAACAATTACATTAAATACTATTATTGCCTGTATATTGCAAAAGAATTAAATGAGAAAAGGGAAGTTAAATTATTTTCCCAACTGAATATGGTACATGAGTGGCAGAGTGACAATCTGAACCATGCAACCTGATTCCTAAGTACTCTGTATTCTTCACTTGTACAATTGAACTATTCTTACTACAATCAGAGTAATAAAGATATTTAACATATTTCTAAGTATGTCTTAATAGGAATGTTTATGAATAAATTATAAACTTGTGAGCCCAATAACCACATTTTATTCACTTTGTCATATACATTGTTTCAATAAACTGCTAATATTTAAATTGCACTTGATTTACAACTTATTATTGTCTGTAGATATTCTTTCCAGGAGATTTGTGTTTTGTAGTTGTAAGATTTACAGTCGAAACTTAAGCACAATTGTTATTTTTAAGTATGATGTGGTTTTCATGTTTGTCTTATTAAATATTATAATGTAGCATAAATGAAGCACGTTTCAGATTGATTGACAGAATGATTGTTTGAATCACATCTTGTTGAAATTATTTAGTTTTAAATACTCTTTCTTTTTTTTAACAGGGTGCTGCTTTAATTAGGATGCTAGCTAATTTTATGGGCCACTCAGTTTTTCAGAGGGGTTTGCAAGTAAGTAAAATATTTTCCATTTTCTGTTAAATTTTCCATGTCAATGTATTTATTTTAAGTATATTTCACTAATTGGAAATTTGCTAATACAAAAAGATGATTTTGATGGAAAATTCGAGATGTGTAAGCTAAGTAATATCTTTCTTTGTGAGCAGCAAAAGTTGTAGATAGAATATTCAGTGTGCTAACTGAAAAAATGGGCTGTCAATACAATTTAGAATGTAAATTGAAGTAATTTCCACATATATCAGATCCTAAATAATTGATATAAGATTTTCAAAAAAGCTCTACTCTCCTTCTTTTCATTTAAAAGTTCATATAATGTGAAAATAAATATTATTGGCCTTATTAGTAGCATATACTGAAAACGTATGCTACTTACATACTTCAGAAAATCATGGGGCTATTTTGAGATATGTTTCCTTTATGTTTGACTATCTGTATGCATGGATTCTTATTTGTTTCAATGATAAGTATATGCTTATATTTCAATTAGAGAATATTGCTTTTTGAAACTGAGGAAAAAGAAACAGTTTATCATACTATATCTTTAAAAAGAATTATAGAATCTAAGAATGGAGTTTCAGAAGAGGAAAATTATTAAATTTAAAGCAGATACAAATATAGAAATATGGAATTTTATTCCACTGAATCTGCCAGAGTAAATCATGTTCCTGGTAGCTGTGATTGATGAATTATTTATGATGCATTCTGCTACTTAGAAGTGTCCTTTAAAGTAAATTGATGTTCACCTGAAATACAATTATGCTAAGATAGAGAGAGCAATCAATCTTATCTGTTCTTAGTAAGCTTTTCATTTTGAAATTTAAATAAACTACATTTTGGATCAGGTCATATTTTAGAAGTATTATTGTATCTTTACCCAAAATACACCCCGAAAGATAAAAATACAAAGGAAGAGTTAAATGTGTTATGATAAAAAATATATTTAATTCAATAAAAAAATATAAATATCTTGAATAACTTCCTTTAGAAAATATTTTTACAGATTTGCTTCAGCAGGGGTTGAAATTTACTTTAATCAGCTCTTTCCATCAGGGACACCTTCAGAATAGCTGAATCCATTGAGCGTATTTGTAAAATGTTCAAGGCGCTATTCTGATCACATAGTTGGGAAAACCTTTGTTCCCCCCTCAAGGAGTGCCCTCCATGAATATCAACTATCTGGAGAATGCCCTTCCTTATCACCAATCCTTTGTTTTTCTCCCATCAAAGTTGTAGCATGACAATTTCAGAAAATATCTAAGCTTTCACAAGGATAACACAAATTGAATTTGATTTCCGTGTAGCAAGTTTATATGAAATCATTTTCTATGTACAGTTTTTATATTTTTTTTCTATTTGACTGTATGGATTTGCTCAGCAGATTGAATAACTACATTTACATTATTTGGAGAATATTTTTGTTTTGCAACATATTTCTTTAACCTGTGCTACTTTCTATGGCACACAAAATATATCATTTTAAAATACATGTTTTCCCACTGACCCATTTTGCTCAATATTATTTGAAGCAGAAAACACCCTGTGATTCGTATTAAATTCTTTTGAAGTTTTTATTATTGTGTGCATTTTTGTTTTTATTCTTAATTTGGTTAATTTCAATTGAGGGAACTTTATATTTGTCAACATTGCATTTCATTTGCCTTGTGACATCTCATTGATCAGATAGATCTGTTTCCTTCAGTACCTGGCTTTCAGCTTTATTTATACTCATCGCTCAAACTGATTTAGTGTATCATCAGCAGTTTGGATTTGTTTACAGTAGATTTCCATGTCTAGGTGATAAATTATCATCTCTACATGAAGATGTATGGGGTACGTTTTGGAGATGACCTCCTGAACAGATACTTCATATCATGGTGCTGAGTGGTCAGAGCTGATATTAATATGCTTCCTATCCACAAAGCTTTGGGGAGTCTTGGTTTACAAGCTGTTGAAAGAGCTAATCTGGGTTTTCAGCACTTACCTTTGCTGGAAAAATCTATTTATTGTTTTCACCTTAGCCATAGCTATAGCTGTGTCAACAAATGGAAGTTTATTATTTGCAGACAAATCCAGGGTTAGGATTCTATGCTTTGGCAATTCCAAATTGTGAATAATGTGTTTGCGTGTATTTTTTTCATTCTTTACTTGTCCCTCCCTCTTTTACTTTCTTTCCTTTTCTTTGTATTTCTCTTTTTGTCCCCTTGTGCTCAGACCTGACCCCTTGTGTTCTACACAGAAGTCATAATGACAATTTCTTATTGATTTATCATTTACCTAAAAGTTGTATTCTGTAATTTTGTGTGTACTTATGACTCACATCAAGCTCTTTAGGGACAAGGCAAAGAATGTTTAAAAATACATATATTATGTTCATAACATAGGAAGACAGTGAGTTTCTGGTCAATTCAAATATTCACATATTACTTATAAAGTAATGACTGCTGAGTCAACTGTATTTTTATGACTTTTATAATGTTTTAAATGGCAACATTTATTTTAAATTTCAAATCAAACATGTATTTGTCAGAAGGAAAGAACTGTAGAGAATTCTGAGAAGTCTTCTTTTTTTCTGGTAGTATTTAACCCATTCAGTTAGTTATTAGAAAGTCTAGAAAATAATTCCATAGCAGATAGTCACAGCTTGACTTGTGGTGGAATTTCTCATACCTCTTTTTTCTGATTTCCTATTTTTCTTGTGGTTTCAGTCTGATTTTTACCTTGTATGTTTTTTAAGAGTAAATTATCTAAAACTTTTTTTGATAGATAAATCATACATACAGGTATAAAAATTGTCCCCTGATACCATTAATAAACTCACTTTGGTTTTATTGTTTGAATTCAAAGTGACATTTTGAGTGAATCACACTTGAAACCTTGTATGGTTAGATTATGTGTACCATTTATAAATAACATTAATTTTTTTATTTTAAAGAGAATGAAACAAAACAAAACAGAACAAAGAAAATAAGAACAGAACAATGCAGGTAACACAGGACTTCAAAACAAGAAACTATATCAACAGTGGCTACCATAATGTCTCTTGTTTTTTTTTGAAATAGTTGATCATACCTTTACATACAATAACATATTTTTTAAACATGTGATTCCATTTTTCAAAATTCCACATGTCTACTGTTCTCTGCAATCTATTTTACAGAATTATAGCAGCCATATTTGGGGAAGCTTGAATTAGTAGGGAAAAATATTTTTTTCCTTTCTCCTCCTAATTAATGTTGGCATTCTACAACTCACCAAATCTCTCTTGGCCTCTGACTCCATAATTACGAAATTTAATACTAAATACTCCAAGATTCATTTCATCTTTCATATTCTCGGAATCTACAATTTAGTCATGATTTGAGATTGATTGTTTTAGTTTGGAAAAGTTGTTTTAATTTGATGGGGAAAATCATAAACTGGATGTGTAAGAGTGATTCTCTGCTCTTGTATGATTAAGTAATCATTTATGTTTTAAGGTTGAATGGCTATCAATTTATGTTGGACTGTAACAGTAACCAAACCAGGACATCATTTATTGTTACAGAGAGATTTTGCTATTAAAAGATTCAAATGCTGGTATTAAGAAATAACTTGTGTTTTCTTTTTAGTTATATATTTCATGTTTTGTTCTAGATACTTTACATTTTTGTGAGAAAGCCACAACTGTGTGAAGAAAGATTTGTGAAAGACTTCTGAACTTTCTTGTTTATGTACAGTACAAATGTTGTGCTTTCTAAAGCTAGAGTTTCTACTTGTGCTCCTGAAATCTGGAATTGACTTGCCAAGTGTCATGTTGTTGAGTATACTGGAGGTTGGTTTATAGACAAATTAGCATTCCTGTTGATGAATGACACGGTACTCACACAAGAGGAAACTTACCTTTGAAAGGCAGAAAAGCTGCTTCTGGCACTATCTGAAGTTCAACAGACCTTAGACTTCTAGGCCACCATTCCAATGCTCACAGTGTTAAGCTTTCCCAGTCAATATCCTTCCTTTCACATAGAAAATCTAATAAAGTCAGGAAATTTACTTGAGTTACAATTTCGTTACTTAGCACTTCAATCCATAATCAAGTTTTAAGACACTGATTCTAAGGGTATTAGGAGTTCTAGACTCTTTTGCTGTAGTTGTAGATCTCTGGTCCTTTACCTCTACTTCCAGATGAGAATTTAAAAGATAAGATTAGCATTTTCTTTTTATGATGTCTTCACATACATCAGGAATATCCGGTTTTTTCTCAGACTCTATTCTATAATAATGTTCTATTGAGCCAGTTATTATTTTCCCAAATCCTATTTTTCAATTTAGGAAATTGTTGGTGATAATTTAAGAAAGTGGCCCTCTAAACCATAAATTGTTATGTTACTATTACCTGATATCACTGATAATCTTCTAAAAATTTAATCAAAAGAGGAAAACAGTTACAGATAGCCATCTCTGAACATACAGGTCCACTAGAAAAATCAAAGTCACCGTGGGTATCTCAAGCAAAAAAGGGTTCGAAAGTTGGTATATATGTGTTCAAAAACTGAGAAGAATTTGGGAGAAAAGATCAAGAAAGTCACTACCGGGTTTCAGAAAGGCAGGAAATTTGAGTAGCACAACAAATTAATATCCATTTTCAGCTGCCAGTATTTCATTCAGAAGCAACTGGAAATATTTTACCTCTGTTCTGCCAAAGTCGACACGCCTGCTTGCTGCTCTCTGAGCAATGAGAATTCCTTCTTTTCTACTGACTTCCATATCTCATATGTGTGCTTTTTGTTTTATAAAATTTAAACTTGGCTTTAAGCAATAAAGCGTTATAGAGAATATACCTTTCAGATATCTCGCTCCTACAGTGCACAAGAGTGTAGGAGGTAGTGAGAGTGGCTGTGAATTGCTAACACACATTCTGACATACTAAATCTACAGGTTCTTTCATTCTATCAATCAAATATTACTTGCATTATGTTATAGATTGTTCTGAGAGGTTTAATAACTATTAACTC